TTTTTTCCTTTATCTTTCTAAGTCACTCCTTCTCTTGTCTGTCTTTTCCCAATTCTTATTTCTATCTCTAAAAATTCTGCCATCCCTTGTACCATATGAGATCATTTTATGTACTTGGTCTATCTCCAGTAGATCTTTCAGGCTATTTTTAATTAAATCTGCTGGTTCTCTCCCCTTATCTTCCCTTAGCACACCTAAGACTCTCCTTGGCTCCAGAGTTAGAATTTGATGTAATAATTTTTTTCTTCTGATTTCCTCCAGCCCCTCCTTTGGGAGCGGCTTTTATTTTCTTCCATACATCATCCACCACCCTTTCATTTCCTTGTTCATTATTTCCTGTCGACTATAGTCCCTCCTTAACTGGTCATTGAATAATTTCACCTCTTTGTTGTGGGATCTCGCTATTTCTAAAATTGCTTGAAGGGTAGATTTTGTTTCATCCCAAAATGTTCCTTGTTGTAACATTATGTTCCAGATATCAAATAATTGTATTCCAAGTGAATGTTGTCCAGTTGCTTAATGTAATCAGTCCAAATTCATCAGTACTTGCTTCAATAGGTCCATTTTAATAGATTGATCATCTTTAGGGTTAAACTTGAATCCAGTCTCAGATGTAAAGGGTTTCTCCCGCTTGGAGGCTCAAGGACACTTGCTCACCAAATAGTTCACTCGATGTTTCTATTTGTGGCCTAATGTCTTTTGTAACCCAGCCCCAGAAGCGGTCTATGATACATCCAAATGTTTTATTGGTCCACATAGGTCCACATTATCCAGATATAGATTCCAAGATGACTTGTCTTTGTTAGACTTTCCAGGGTTAATTTATCAATGCTTCAATCAGTTCTCAGAAAAAAAGGAGGGTCAAAACAGATTCCTAGCTTAAGGCCGACATAGAGTGTTCAAAGTCATTGTTCTGGGCTTTTTGCCAATGCTTAGATAGCCATAACATAACAAGTTTAACTCCCAGAGTTGTTTAGCTAATAATGATTTTAAGAGAAGGATTTCTTAAGTTTCTAATGCCAAAGCAATACCAAACTTCCTTACTTGAAGTATAATTAAATGTCTTATTAGTGTCCAATTTATTTGAATTTCTTTGCGTCTCTTCCCTCTCTCCAGATTCACCGCTGTTCTATAAGTGGTGGGGATAAGAGACACTATTTCTGGGATAGGGATTGTCTCATCCAGGGATAGTCATAAAGCAGTATGGTTGTTAAAATATTTCTCACCCAGTGGTAACAACAATGTTAATTAGCTGATTTATCACTACTCTATTGCCGGCTGCCAACGACTTGCAAGTGAGCTATGGTTTTGCCCACTGGTTGATTGGGGAGTTTCCCGGATCAAAACGGGGCTAACCATTCCCCCCCCATGATCAACAGGCTTCTCCCCCTAACCATCCCCCCCCATGATCAACAGGCTTCTCCCCCATTTCACCACCTCTTGGGGGTAGTTTTAACCCCCGGGGTCCCAAACAGGTCGGAATTCAGCCTAGGGGATGGAGCTCCACCCTCTTGCTGTTGTCTCATTGCAGCATCAAGGTGGAAGTCTCAACCTAATCAAGATCTTGTGGGATTTCCAGATCCAAACTTGATGGGCACCTTGAAAATAACACACCAGACATAGTCGTAATAAAATGAAAACATGTCTGGATCATTGAGATTGCAGTTATAGGAGATGCCAGAGTTGAAGCTAAAGAATTGGAAAAACTTAACAAAATATAGATATCTGGCAGTTGAAATATCTCGCTTGTGGATGGAACATACCTCAGTGGTCCCCATAGTCATTGGGCCTTGGGAAATGCCCAACATTAAGGAATTTCACACAGTATTATACGCAGTTGCAGATCTCAGAAATAAAACCATTCAGAGCTACAAAAACAGTGCGTATACTTAGTTGATATTTCTTAGCTACTTAAGTTTTTGGTTAAAACTTGTATCTGTTATATAATACTAGTCAATGTTTTTATCATTTTGATTGACTGTGCCTGGTATTGTTGGATTATGATGATAATGATGGTGATGGTAATGATAATACAGCTATAAAGTGTGTGCAAAGCTCAGCACATGCCTCATTTGCTGCCTAAATTGTCCAGGGGAGTCACCTCATGGAACCATGGATGGGCAGAAACACAGTATCTGCTTTTTGTGTAGAATTGTATGCCATGATGCTTCAAAATGGAGTCTGAAGCCACATAGGCACAGTGTGATCACCATATGAATGAAAGACCTGCATGATGACACAGCCAAATAATTTGAGAATGTCACATACAAACACATATACCTTCCCTTTCACATTGCTGAGGAAAGTACCCCCCGTTTGATTGCAAGGGAAGTAAAAGGAGGCCCAGAAGTAGGGTTGAACTGCCCACATCTTTAATTGGGAAGCTAGAGATTGAATTACTGACTGATAAGTTTACCCTAGGTTTTAAACTTTTTATTGTAGAAAACTAGTATAAAATGCTGCATTACACAAATGCTTCTGTGCTTCCGCTTTGTTTGAAGGCCCAGTGCAGATTCATATACACAAAGAAGGAGGGGCAGGGGAAATAAAAAAGTGTAAGGCAGTTCCGCATATGACGTATTTATTTTACCATGATATATGTGGTGCTTTAAGCTAGTACTTATTTGAAAGCACTATATAGACATTTCATGCACAGAGACACAATAGAGAATCAAAAAGTAAAAGATGTAATCAAATAATTTTTACTAGAATTTCAAAAAAAGGCAAAGGTTCCCCTTGACAATTTTTGTCCAGTCGTGTTCGACTCTAGGGGGTGGTGCTCATCCCCGTTTCCAAGCCATAGAGCCAGTGTTTTGTCCAAAGACAATCTTCCGTGGTCACATGGCCAGTGCGACTTAGACACAGAACGCTGTTACCTTCCCACCGAGGTGGTCCCTATTTATCTACTTGCATTTGCATGCTTTCGAACCGCTAGGTTGGCGGGAGCTGGGACAAGTGACGGGAGCTCACTCCGTCACGTGGACTCGATCTTACGACTGCTTGGTCTTCTGACCCTGCAGCACAGGCTTCTGCGGTTTAGCCCACAGCGCCACCACGTCCCATAGTACTTGAATTTCAAGTGGGAGGTTAAAATGAGAAATTCTTTGTCATACCAGTGATGGAAAGGACAAATTACATGGTGTGCTTCATTTTTACTTAAGGATTTCTCTTGTTTTCTTGCTGCAGACCAGCCCACCCCCAACAACAACCCAGTCACCAGAAAGCACCATGGAAGCTTCCCTGAAGAAAGAGAAGCCAGCTATCCTGGACCTTTATATACCTCCACCACCAGCTATTCCCTATGCTCCTCGGTAGGCTGTTAGCTCCATATTGCTTAATAAAAACATCCTGTGTTGTTCTGCCTGATAAAAACCTGTTCTGTTTTGGGAAAGTTCATATGGTTGTTTTATATCTTCCTCTTCCAGGTTCCTTCCATTTACCATCAACTCTTACCATGTAATAGCTGCCTTCCTTCCTCCCCTGCGGCTCAGTATTTAGCCAGCTACCCTCTTTGCAAAAGTGCTAGCCAAGTGGCCAGTGCACTTGAAGTGGAGCCAGTCCTCTGCTTTGAGCAGCTGGTGCTCCTTCTTAAAAGACTCCCCTCCCTCTTTGTGTACTGTGGACAAGCAGACACAAAGTACAGTACTTTGTGTCTGCTTGTCCTGCCTCCTTTTGTTTAGTGTGAGCTCCTTCATTCCTTCACCTCATGCTGTTGTTGCCTTGCTTGCGCTTCCCTCTCCTTCCTCCTGTGCTTGACTGGCAGGCTTGCTCTGCCTGTGCTAACACTTCAGTTTCCTCTGCCACTCTGTTGTGGGCGCCTCCCTCTTTCCAAAGTACCAGCCTGTTCAGCATGTTTTGAAATAGAGCCAGTCCTCTGCTTAAAAATGCTAGCAGCAAATTGATGAGGGGCCGCTGTGTGTCTGAATGGCACAGCCAAGATAAGATCTGGCATTTTGTCAGCTATCCACAGAGAGCAACAGCAAATTATGCAGACACAGGAACACCAATAGGATTCTGGCCAGTTAGTAATCAGAATATTTTAACTAGAGTGAGATTATAGATGGCAGCCTGTTTCCTTTGAAACTCATGGTAGTTCTTGTCATTGACTATGGGAGGAAAAAGTCCTCATCAGAGGTTAAAGCCACCCTGTTCTTTCAAGATTTTGATGGCTAGTAATATGAGGCTGCCTTCTCCATTTTTTAAAAAACGTTGTTTATTACTACTTTTCTATCCATTTGCAGTCTTAGGCTGTGTACAGCTGGCTGGATAGCTCAGTGACATGTCCGGCTATGGAGCCAGAGTTTGGGAGTTCAATTCTCCACTGTGCATCCTAGAAGAGCCATCATGTCTGGCCTTGGGCAAGCTGCACAATCCCAGGGCATCCCCAGAAGAAGGGAATGGTAAATCACTTCTGAGTAATCTCTACCTAGAAAACACTGAAAAGGGTATCCATAAGTCAGAATTAACTTGAAAGCACACAATTATTGTTGTCTCAACATGTTCTGAAGTTTTATTTTTACTTTCCGTTCAAAACCAGATTGAAAGTATCTTGAATATTGGCTAGTGGAAAAGTTAAATAAAATTGATCAATCTGAATTTGTTATATCTTGTCATAACCAGGCAGGGGTCTGTTTATGTAGAGTTCATGGACTTTCTGTTGTATCGCTCCCATAAGCCCTTGCCAGTGGCCATGCTTCTGGGAGTTAAAATCCCAACATGTGGAGGGCCAGATGTCTTCCACCTCTGCTGTAGCCCTTGGCCAGTGATCTTCTTCCCTCTAGCATTATTCAGCCTTACCTCATTTGCTTACCTCAAAGCTTTGTCCCGTCCCAATGTTTATCTACCATCCTTTGTCAAGCATTCAGGCTTCTGTCATTCTTTGTTGTAAAATAAACTAAATTTTATACAAATTTGGCAACCAGAAATACTGTATTCTGTATTGCATGTTCTCTGCCATCCTTTGTCAAGCACTCAGGCTGCTGTCATTCTTTGTTGTGAAATAAACTAATTTTTTATAGAAATTTGGCACCCAGAAATACTGTATTCTGTATTGCATGTTATGTTATGCCAATCAAGCAAAACTGCATAAATTCTTTTGGTATGCATAATTGATTGGCAAGCAGGGACTGATTTGCATGATTCATGAGTTTGTTAATAATCCTAAGGAGGAGGAAGGTGAATTGCTGAGCACTTAAAGCTTTGCTCCTGATCACAGAAATCCTATTCAGCTACTTGTCTGGCGTCTGTGGTGGCTCCATTCTTTTATTTACAGATCTTCAGACTTGCTGTCACTTGCAACCATGAGAGGTAGGAAATTGCATTTACACAAACGAGAAAAACGGTGAGACTCTCAGTTCTAGGGCCAGTACGATGTGTTACGTTTTTCCTGAAACTGTATGAAATTGCACCTTACTAATGTCTTACCTGCCTTTTCTGCTAAATCTCAGTAATAGCTCAAAACTGCCTTTTCCTCCAAAGTACTCACGAGTACTGGTATTTAACTTCTTTTATGTATACACCTAATCAAATCCAATATCTTTCTAGGGACGAAAAGGGGAGTTTTGTTTATGGAGGAGGCATTAAACCCAAGCAACCCCCACCTGGTTGCAAAGGTGCAGAATCTCCCAATTCTTTCCTGGATCAAGAATGCAGGAGACGAAGATTTACTCTTACTGATTCTGATCCATTGCCTGGTTATCCCATGGATGCAGCAAATATACTGCCAGCAAAGATGAGGGAAAAAACACAGTCATATGGTGAGAAACATCTCTGCATCTATGTGTGAGTGTGAGTGTGTGTGATTTTCCAAAGCGCTGGACAAGAGGTGAGCAGCTTGCGGCCTCTCTGGATTCTTGAACCACAAATCACATTACCCCAAGCCAGCATGAGTAGTGGTGAGGAATAAAGGGACTTGCAGAGAAACCATATCTGAAGGCCCACAAGATGTCCAACCCTATTTTCAGTGACCTCCTCTGATGCCTTTCATGTTAAACATGGAATACTAAGAAACATGGTTTTCTTTGGAATTTTATGTCTAAACCCACTTAGTAGCATTTGTCAAATAAAAGCCCATTGAGTCATCACTTTTTAATGGCTTACTTTGTTTATGCACACAAACATGGACATTCAAAATTTGACTAAGCTAAGATATCAGGAATTGTGTAAGTGATGGCAGTTGTAATGAAATGTCCTGAAGTGCTTACACATTAGAAATGTGTGTGCGTGTACACAGTTGTAAGATTTAAACTGCAGTCATATATGCACTGACCTAGAAGTAAATCCTCCTGAAATTATTAGGACTCTTTCATTGGTAGACATGCAAGAGATTTCTACTTTCCTAGAGTTGAAGGCAGGTGCTACTGATAGACTGTGTCTGCCCTGCAAGCTGTTTTACAGGCTTTGGCCCCACTGCATAGCCCAGATTTTATTTTGGCATGTAGAATCATTAATTGTGGGGGTCCTTTTTTCAGAACTAAAGTGCCTAGAATGTCATTTCTAGTTTTAAAAAGGCCCCTAATCAATCAATCAATCAATCAATCACTGAGATTCCCCCCACCAAACCTACCCATAATGTCCAAAACCACCTCCCCCAGCTGGCTTCTGGGTGTGTGATTATATAAAAAACAGCAAAAGGATGGAGCAAAGGGCATATAGGCTGAAATCCTGTTGCGCAAATTGGATTATGTCATCAGCTGCAGCTGTGCCACGGCCATTTCAGAGCAGGTAAAAACTTTCCCATTCCCCTCAATTCCGAGGATCCCTAAGGATCCCCTTCATCCTGGGGAACCCTATGGGAGCTGTGGAACAGAGTAAGGGAGGGTTTTTAAGCCCCCAAATTGCTGCCACCAGCCCCAGTCTTGCTGGTGGTGATGTTCACAGTTTAGATCAATCCTTATCCCATTCCACAGCTCCTAGGAGTTCTCATTCTGATGCCGCAAGGCACGCTAATGAATGTGAATTAGTCTCTTCCTCTTTTCAATGGTATGTGCAAAAGCATCTCATTATTAATACAGTTGTAGAACCAGCTAATTTGATTTTAACTTGATCTTACCCTTTCACAATAGCATTGCATTCTTAGAATCTTGTTCTCTGTTTCCTTCAGGTAAACCTCGGCCATTGTCCATGCCTGCAGATGGAAACTGGTTGGGAGCAGTAGAACCTTTCTCCAAGCCTCGAGCAGTGGGGAGGAAAGGTAACGAGATCTTGTTTGGGGTGGGGGCTGCTTTTTTAAAGTCCACTCCTGCATTCCTGCCAGAGTTCAGCAAAGTTCCATGTTTGGGGCCACTGTTTCCACACTTGCCTATCCAGCAAAGTTGATGGTGGATACACATTCTGTAGTTTTGCAGGATGTCAAGCATCCACTTCTGCCTTTGCCATGCCTGGGTACCAGAAACTGATAGTGGGGAATCTTCGTTGTTGAAGCACAGCTTTCGGCCTTTATTTTCCTGTTAATGGGTGTCCTGCCTGGAGTCAATAAGGTAGCCTTTGCCTCAGCAGTAGGGTAACCTACCATAAATGTTCAGAAGGCTGTATCAGTTTGTTATTAATTAATTGTGGTCCATCAGGTAGATTCCAACTTCTAGCAATACTCCCAGGGTTTTCTAGGTATAAAGTACTTGGACGTTATTTGCTAGTCCTTCATTGTAGAGGTGCTTTCAGACCATGCAGCTTGTCTGAGGCCACACAGGTGACAGTGCACATAGTCCTTTATACAACACAAGTTCTGGATAATCTTGGCTGATCCCTCTCCCAGGTGAAACAGTGAGGTTTTGAATACCTGGCTTCACAGGGTGCTGAGCTTATACAACAAAAGTTTTGTTTATGCTGCCCTTCTATCCCTATTATTAGTGTAACTTCTCTGCCTGAGCAGCCAGAACATAAATTTTGTTCCACATACAGTATACAGTGGTGCCTTGTATAACGAGTGCCCCGTTTAACGACGAATCCGCATAGCGATGCGGATTTTGCGATCGCAGAAGCGATCGCATCACGATGTTTCCTATGGGGGAAAATCGCGTTGCGATTTTTCTCCATAGGCCTCATTTCCCCCCAGCTGACCGGCGGGCGCTTCCGAGCGACCGTGGTGGAGGCTTCCCTGGCGGTCGCTCCAAAGCCTGTGCCGCCCAGCTTGGGGGAGAAGGTTCGGAGCGCCTGCGGTGGACACTTCCACATAGGTTGCTCTGAAGCCTGCTTCAGAGCAACCCCTGGGGAAGCATCCACCGCGGGCGCTCGGAAGCCAGCACCGCCCAGCTGGGGGAAAATGGCCGCCCGCAGCATTTTTGCGCCTCGCTTACCGAGGCTGCAAAAATGGCGGGCGGG